ACTCCTTAGTCACAGTTTAATACATGAAGCATCATACTTCTGTTTGGTCATATTGTCGAGCTAGTTTGCTGTCTCTGTAAAGTAGCTGTCTATTAGTCAGTCAATCTACAGCAGGAAATGGCACTTCAAAATGAAAGCTCTGTGGCAGAATGCACTGTACTTTCATTTTTTACAAATTTGACACATTTGCGAGTCACTTGCAGTCCATTCAGAATGGGCCCACAACCCACTTTTGGACCACGACCCAGCAGTTGGGAACCACTGCTTTAAAGGAGCTGTGTATGATGTTCAGAACATATGATTCAAAGGTTGTTTGCACATGGCTCTCAACATGGACGTGGCTAGCAGCTAACGGTGCTAACAGTGCAAACAGTGCCAACAACAGTGTAAGCAACGTGGGTGTGTGAGAAGGAAGTCCAAACACTGATCAGTCAGCCATTACACAGCATTACACAAGAACTACCAGCATCCTGAACAGCGCCGACTAGTGGAAATACCTAATACCAGAACATCATAACATTACTGTAAACACTGAGAATTCAAGTTTGTACTATTATATGTACATTTAACTCGTACAACAGCAACAGCAACAGCTTCCTCGATAACAGCGTCTTGATGTCAGCTGTACACTGTAGGACAGCAGAGCAGAGCCGTGTCAGTTAGCCAGCTTGTTGGAAACATGGGGCTCAAGCACTAACATGCACCATCTACTACAACAACAGACAGAGAAGCATGGATTACAACACACACACAGGGACTGTGACATCCGTCTATGCTCAGGACACCATTACCCCACAATATCTTTCCATAGAAAAAAGTTGTTTGCTGCTGTATTGGTGCTCTGAGTGTTATATAGGGCAGTGGTTTCCAACTGGTCCAGCCACAGGGTCCAGATTTCTCTTTAGTCATTAGTTCAAAGTACACACAGTTTAATAAATTTAGTGTCACACTTGGGTTTAGCCATGTCTTGGAGCTAGCTTGCTGTCTCTTTCAAGTAGCAATCCGTTTGTCACTCACTCTACAGCAGGAAACTGCACTTCAAAATAAAAGCTCTGCATCGGAATTTTAAAAATAAAGTGTGTTACAAATGACACGTTTGTGAGTCACTTTTGGTCCATTCAGATTGGACCCGCAACCCACTTTTGGACCACAACCCACCAGTTGGGAACCACTGGTATAGGGCTCCTTTAAAACGCTCAGATTGCCACAATTAGTGTCAAAACTCTCATTTCTTCTGTGAGTAATAACTCAGTCAAACAGAAATGATGTACAGTTTTTTGTAGATTCTCAGTACCTTAGCTTTATGAGGCTATTCTCTCAGATATGCATCATTTAGAAATGATAAAAAGACGCTTTTTATTACTCAAGAACTTGCCTGAGAATCACCATATTTTTAAGTTTCCTTCAGTATCAAAGTGAACCAGTGATAGCTGTCTGTGCATCCATGGATATATTGCAAAGAGGAACTGATACTGTGGCATACTTGCCAACATGTAAACGCATAGGCTGAAAAGCAAATCAAGTTGTAGCTCACAGTAGGATGCAGATGACAGGGGAGGTTGGCGGGGTCACCAGTGTCTCAGTTTTGTCTTAGGAGCCCACATCGTCAGTCTTTATATTAAAAAAAAACCCTGCCCTACTGCAAGAAACAGTTAAACCCTCCATGCCTGGCACATGACCACGCCTTTCAAACTCCTCACTTCCAGGTTCCAATCTGAAACTGACATGTCATCATGGTTATTTTGAGAGAGTCTCAGACTGTACACAGTTTCTCCAGAGCCACAGAAGAGCTGTAATGAAACTGTGCCCACAGGCTTAGTTATCCCCGGTACGCATGAAGGCACCTTCATGTGTACAAATACCTCTTTCATATATTCTAGTACGCAGATGATGCTTTTTTAATAGTATCCTTACATACACTGGCCAAAAAACAAATTTATTACCAATCTGTCAAATTTAACCTTTGTAACAGACAGCCTTACAGTGTTTGCTCAATAACTGTGAGACCACTAAGATAAATATTTAGCAGAAAGTCACTTTTAGAGTATTGACTTTAGTTTGTGTGATGATCCTGTGTGATATATTAGCTCCCTGTTTATCTTAGAAATAGCAAAGACTAGGATAAAAGAGTCCAAATTCAAGAGTTCATTCTATTTACGATTTAAAGTCAAAGCTTTAAGATGAAGTTTCCTTTGAGTGCTGAGAGACATTAAATATCTCCTGTCAAATTCAGCCTGATCTTGCTATTGAACCATATCACAACATGTACAACAACTGAGACACAACACAGAGTACAAAACGATAGTTATTTGAACTACACTAATGTAGATCAAAAATATCTGATGCAAACCGTCTCTGACAATTCAGTATGTGGCAGGTGCAGTGACCCAACTCTTGTATCACAGTCAGTTGTTCCCTTTGGCATCAGTCACTGTGTTTGTCTGATGTTAGCTATTGTACAGCCTCAGGTAGGGAACGGCCTGCTTTCACTGTCATCAGTGCAAAAGAGTTTGGCTACTCTTTTCATGTGCCAGTCAAAGCAGATATCACCAACATATGAAAATATTCTCCTGAATCAAAGAGTTCAGTCATTATTCAGGAAGTTCCAGAGAATGCTTTTCATATCGGCCAGTTACCCAGAGTTCAATGTAAGCTTGTGTTTAACAAATAGGTGACGATGATGAGTTACTCTTCACACCAGCGTAGTCGAGTTGATTTGGCCTTGGACTCTGTTATCAGAAGAGTTAAGAGTCCTGACACACCAAGCTGATGGTCTCGGGCTGTCTGTGAGCATCTGTCACCCTAGTTTTGGTGGTATGTCCCACACCGTTGGCAACTTGTCGGCCCTTGACGGCTTTTTTTGGCCGATTCAGCATGTTCAATCACTGTCGGAGCCCGTCACTCTGACTGGCAGTTCAGCACGAGAAGAGAAACGTAAGGGAGGAAACCAAACTAACAGTTAAAGTCAAGACGGCATGAGATCACAACAAACTTGTAAGATTATGTTTTTGGCCGTTGAGCCTTTGAAGCATCCTTTGTTCTTTCAGCATTAGGTTGTGATATTAATGTGCTAACTGGCTAACTAGCATCTTGATTCCGTCCTGTTGGTCTTCTGGTTTCCCTTTTTGAAAGACAAATAAGACTATCGCTGCCTGTTGGTTGAGTTATACCCTCTCACGCAAGATCATAACATACGTGCTAGCTGGCCGTTGGCTCTAGTCTTTGTCATGTCTTCCAGTACAACTTTATGGCCGAAACACAGGCAATGTTAGGCGACACAAGAGTCAGTCATCATCACCACAAGGTCTTTACAGTTGGTTTGGAGTACCTGGGCCTGTACAAGTTCAAGTCTTTGATTCAAAAGGGGTGCAGAACGTATTTGCTAGTTGGCTTTAGTCTGTGCGCAATGGTCAAGGGCAACTTTTTGGCTAAGAAGCAGGTGACATGAGGCAGTTAGCCTTCGTCAGCACAAGTTCTTCGATGTCTTTTTGGTGTGTCTGGGCCTGTACTAGTTAAAGTCTTTTGTCCAAAAAAGGTGCCGAACGTACAAGCTAGTTGGCTGTTGGCTGTCATCTTTACGCTGTGCCCAAGTGTAACTTTTTGGCTGAGACGCAGGTGACGTGAGGCAAAGGGGCAGTCAGCCCTTGTCACCACTAGTTCATTGATGTTGGTTTGGTGTGTCTGGGTCTGTACAAGTCAAAGTCTTTTATTCATGTGCAGAACGTACATGCTAGTTGGCCGCTAGCTGTAGTCTTTGCAGTGTGTTTAAGTGCAACTTTCTTGCTAATTTGCAGGCAATGTGAGGCAGTCAGCCTTTGTCACCACTAGTTCCTTGATCTAGTTTGGTGTGTTTGGACCTTAACAGGAAATAAAAAAGTTTGGGTGACGTGATGCGAATGTGACAACAAAATACTGCAGGTTAGCCTCAACAAACATCCCTGAATTCTTCCTCTAAGTTAATTATCTGACACTCACAAAGGGATGTAGTCAGTGTGTAATCCAGTACACCTTGAAACATTTGGCAGGCGTGTCACCACTATCAAATGACTGATTGTGTACTTGAGCACCAAGGCCCTTCCATGTGTACATATGCGTGCGTGCAAGTTTTCATGGGTGAATGTGTAGCAAAAGGGGAAAGGGTTCCCATTGATAGTGAGGTCTTTGTGGTAGCTTCAGGCCATGCATGCACGGATTGTTAATGTCTGTTGGAAGTGCTGGACTGTGACTAACAAGAAAAAAATCTGATACAGTGAGTCCATGGAGTGTCTCGAAAGAAAAAAAGGCAAGACATCCGGCAAGTGAGGCAGAAACAGTGCCATAGCTCAAAATGCAAATTACTTTGGTCAGAGGTCCCTTAGCACCCCTCCTCACCCCTCTCCTCCCTGTCTCCCCTCTCTATTCTGTTCAGAGCATTGAGGCAGCGTGAAATCCATCCTGGGAGGGGCTATTGTACTCCGGGAAGCAACCGTCAAACTGGAATGGTTAAGGCCTGGCCTGGGCCAGGGGATCTCTTTATATAGCCTGAGGCTGTGGAGGAGCTGTGCAGTGCTGCTGAAAAACAGCCGGGCCAGAGGTGTGGGTCTGGGACGTGCCGCCAATCTCTCACTCATCCTTCCTGGTGTCTGTCTCAGGGAACTGCTGCTATCATAACAAGGCCTCACGCTCCGCAGCCCTGCCGGCTCTCTGAGGCAGGCTCAGGTTTAATCGTCCATGATGGTGTGTACTCTGCCAAAGGGCCACACGGGTATCTGCCATTCCCATCCTCTCCTCCTCCATGTTCCCCCTGTCCTCTCAGCTGCTCCTATATAGCTGTCGGACTGAGACAGAGAGGCACAAACCAGCACACCCACCCCCAGCTCCACTCCATCAATGGCCCCCTTTGGACAAAGCTGCTGTCTTTGCAACATGCTAACCATGCTGAGAGTGAGGAGGGAGACAGAGGAGAATGAAGGGAGGAAAGGGGGAAAGTGTTTAGAGGACAACAAATAGACGCCTCTCACCTCCTTATCTTCAGCAGTGTGTCCTCCGAGAAGCTTCAGGCACTCCCTGGTGACCCTTTAATCCCGGCAACCTCCCATACACTCAGTTTTTACCACACTGCCGGGTCCAGCACAGTCATCTTTATGGTATCCTGCGAGGGCTGCAAGTGGCTGAGAACAGATTGGAATTCTCCTGTGCTGTTTACTTTCCCACAACTTCTCCCCTGCACCGTGTGCACGAGCAGCTCAAGATGAGGTAACCCTCTGTGCTCCCTCCCCTCTCCCTCTGCCTCGTTGTGTTCCTCCCTCTATCTCCCCTCTCTGTCCCTCTCTTTTTCAGATGGGTCCTTTCCCCCACTCAGCCCCTCCAGTCTCTCATTCTGTCCTTTCTTTGGTTTTCCTCCCTCCTCCCACTCTCCAGACCCCTGCTGCTGCCCAGACAGCAGCACAAAGCAGGGTGAGGGCTCTCAGACTCAACCAGCCAATGGGAGAGTGACAAAGTCAAGCACGTGGCCAATGAAAAGCCTAGGGGGCCGTGTGTGTACCAATCAGGGCAGTTTTTGCATACAAGTGGGCTGGACAAAGGGAATTAGGGGCAATGCTATCTCAGAGTACTTCCGTGTGGGACTGAAGTTCACACTGAACTGGAGTCAGCTGTGTGAATTTCTCTCTAATGGTTGAGATTTAAAAAGACAAGGTGGTAACTGACACAGGAGAACTGAAAGGAGCAGCCAAATGAGCTGGAGCAATACATGTGATACATTCAATAAAATGTTCAAAGGTAAAATGAGACTTTGCTCATGCAATATAACAATTAACATGAGACATATTTTCTATTTAAAAAAGTAGCTTTAATGAAAATGATTGTTGCCAGCATGTAAGTAATTGCAAAATGTCCCACCACTTCTCTAACAGGAGCAAGACACACAGACTTTGTGGTGTTTTTACCTATTTTTCTGTCTTTTTGGATCATTTTTGTGTCTTGTTTGCTTTCTTATGTCTCTCTGCGGTTGTTTTCCCCATTTTTTGTTGCTATTTTGTGTTTCTTTAAAATAATTTTGTGTCTCTAAGGGTCATTTTGTGTCCCTGAAGAAATTTTGTGTGTCTTTTTTGGCCTTTTTATGCCTCTTTGTGTTTTTCTTGCCCCTTCTTATAGTTACTTTGTGTCTCTTTTTGTTCATTTTGTGCCTCTTTATGTTTTTTCCCCTTCTTGTGGTTATTTTGTGTCTCTTTGTAGTTGTTAAGCATATTTTTGTATATAATTTTGTGTTTATTTGAAATAGTCTGTCTTTTGGGGTCATTTTGTGTCCCTGGTGAAATTTTGTGTGTCTTTTTGGCCTTTTTTTGACTTTTTGTGGGAGTTTCCCCCCATTGTAGTAGTATTTTGTGTCTCTGAAATATTTTGGTGTCTTTTTGGTCATTTTGTGTCTCTTTGTGGTTGTTTTGTCCCTTTTTATAGATATTTTTGTGTTTATTTGAAATAATTTTGTGTCTTTTGGGGTCATTATGTGTCCCTGAAGTAACTTTGTGTCTCTATTTAGTCATTTTGTGTCTCTTTGTAGTTGTTAAGCCCCATTTGGTAGTTATTTTGTGTTTCTTTGAAAACATTTTGTGTCTTTTGGGATCAATTTGTGTACTACTACTGTGCTAATCCCCATTAGCACCAGCAACAGCATCGGCTATTCTTACTTTCTTGTGGTTATTTTTTGTCTCTTTGAAGGAACTTTGTGCCTCGTTTTGGACATTTTGTATCATTTTTTAGTTGTTTTGTCCCTTTTTGTAGATATTTTTTGTTTATTTGAAATAATTTTGTGTCTTTTGGGGTCATTTTGTGTCCCTGAAGAAATTTTGTGTCTCTTTTTGGCCTTTTCGTGTCTCTTTGTGGTTGTTCTGCCCCTTCTTGTGGTTATTTTGTGTCCCTGAAGTAACTTTGTGTTTCTGTTTAGTCATTTTGGGTCTCTTTGTAGTTGTTAAGCCCCTTTTTGTAGTTATTTTGTGTTTCTTTGACAACATTTTGTGTGTTTTTGGGTCAATTAGTGTCCCTGAAGAAACTGTGTGTCTTTTTTGGCTCTTTGTGGTGGTTTTTCCGCCTGTTGTAATTAATTTTATGTGTCTTTGAAACAACTTTGTGTCTTTTTGGTCATTTTGTGTCTCTGTGGATCTCTTTGTGTCTTTTTGTGGTCATTATGTCTCTTCCTGGTTGGTATGTGTTAATTTGACTGACATCTTGCAGGGAAACACCAGGACATCCTGACACTTTAGGATCCTGGACCTGTGCCCAATAGGCCTGTTCAGTAACCTATCCATGCATGATGTCATATAAAGTATTATACTATACATAAAATTTAAAATACTGTATATTATATCCTGTTGTTCAAGAAATAATCTGTGAGAATATTAAGAACTCTGAAGCCGTGGAATAAAAGTCTGAGTATAATGAATGAAACCAAAGAATATGGAATGAATCTGCTAAATGTAAAAGCAGTGCAGGCTCCATGCTGTCATCTTTTTGTTGACTGTGTAAACTGTGTTTATGTGCAGTTTTATCAGTTTGTAAATGAGCCTATACGAGACCGAAAAACATTAAGTAAGCACTCTGGTATCCAACTTGAAAAGAAATATAATGAAAGGATTGTATTATCTTAAATTGCGAGTTTTACTGATGCTAAAATAGTAATTAAAGCAGAGAAATTATCCACCACTCCCTAAAAGATGCTGGGATTGGAAAAATGTTCTGTTTGTCTCCTTAACTACCCTTTTAGTTTGGGTTTGGTTTATTTCTCTGGGCCACACATTGGCCTAAAAACTAGTTGTTCTTTATGCGATTGTTGCCAGGAAAATTCTCAACAGTGTGACCTTCAGTTTTCAACTTTAACTTTATTGTGTCCAGGGGGAAATTTGTCTCACAGCCAGGTAAAACAATACAAAGACTTAAAGATAAAACATAAAAAAACCATGAAGCTGTTATGAACTCGAGGGAAACCCAAGCGTGGGACACAGGGTGGAGATGATGAAAAGGTTTANGTTATCAAAAGAAACTTAAAAACTTTCAATTAACAGGCTTTCCTCAATGACCTTGCAGACAGTATTGTATCTCACACCTCTGAAATACTGGACATAAAATTAGCCTTGGAATACTTTACAAAATCATTTATTACTATCATTGATAAACATGGAAATCAGTTTGATATGGTTTACTCAGATTACTCTCTTAATAATAACCCTCGGGATCACGTGCTCCCCTCATACCGTACCTCTCAGTTCACCCTTCAGACTGTCACTTCATCTGTTGTTAAGGAAGCGCTATAAACTATTGATTGCAGGAAAGCAACTGGGGAGGATCATTTAGACCCTATTTCTTAAAGTTCTCTGCCCTGATTATTACTAATCAAATTACACATCTGTTTAATGGGCTGGAGCCTATCCCAGCTGACCTTGGGTGAGAGGTGGGGTACACCCTGGACAGGTCGCCAGACAACAACACATAGAGACAGACAACCATTCACGCTCACATTCACACCTACGGCCAATTGAGATTCACCAGTTCACATGCATGTCTTTGGACTGTGGGAGGAAGCAAGAGTACGGAGAAAACCCACGGTGACACAGGGAGAACATGCAGACTCCGCACAGAGGGGACCCCCCACCCTGAGTTTGAACCAGGAACCCTCTTGCTGTGAGGTGACAATGCTAACCACTGCACCACTGTTGCTGTAACGAGTAACTGAAGTTATAAGATAAACGTAGTAAAGTGAGTACAATATTTCTCTCTGAGATGTAGTGGAGTACAAGTATTAGGTAGCAGAAAATGGAAATGCTTCAGTAAAGTACAAACAGGCCTACCTCAAATATGTGCAGTATTTGATTAAATGTTATATTCCAGCACTGCTCAAGGGTGTCTTGATTCTTGATTGATGTCTTGTATTCCAATGTTAGATAAGTGCAGCCACCATTTCATCTCTTGTATCTCAGATAGATATATCTGCCTTATGCACATGCTACACATTACCAGGGTACCCTTGCAATTTAGACTTGCACTTTCATGAAGTTTAGCAACTCACAAGAGACAGACTGAAAAAAGGAATGAGCATAGTCATCGCAACAGAAACCGAGATATCCTGACTTTTGGTTCCTGGTGTGGGTCAAGTTTCACAAACTATTGATCATACTGCACCTCTAATGCAGAGGTTTTCAAAGTGTGAGGGTGGTGCAGAGGGAGCAGCGTGAGGCAAAGAGAGGTCAAAAGGACGGCTGTTCTTAAAAGGTCGTGGTTGGCACACTGTTTTGGCCCACTTCTCAACCTGCTCAGCAGGTGAAGCGTCAGTTCCTTAAAGCATTGTTTCCCAACTGGTCCAGCCTCGGGGTCCAGATTACTCCTTAGTCACAGTTTAATACATGAAGCATCATACTTCTGTTTGGTCATATTGTCGAGCTAGTTTGCTGTCTCTGTAAAGTAGCTGTCTATTAGTCAGTCAATCTACAGCAGGAAATGGCACTTCAAAATGAAAGCTCTGTGGCAGAATGCACTGTACTTTCATTTTTTACAAATTTGACACATTTGCGAGTCACTTGCAGTCCATTCAGAATGGGCCCACAACCCACTTTTGGACCACGACCCAGCAGTTGGGAACCACTGCTTTAAAGGAGCTGTGTATGATGTTCAGAACATATGATTCAAAGGTTGTTTGCACATGGCTCTCAACATGGACGTGGCTAGCAGCTAACGGTGCTAACAGTGCAAACAGTGCCAACAACAGTGTAAGCAACGTGGGTGTGTGAGAAGGAAGTCCAAACACTGATCAGTCAGCCATTACACAGCATTACACAAGAACTACCAGCATCCTGAACAGCGCCGACTAGTGGAAATACCTAATACCAGAACATCATAACATTACTGTAAACACTGAGAATTCAAGTTTGTACTATTATATGTACATTTAACTCGTACAACAGCAACAGCAACAGCTTCCTCGATAACAGCGTCTTGATGTCAGCTGTACACTGTAGGACAGCAGAGCAGAGCCGTGTCAGTTAGCCAGCTTGTTGGAAACATGGGGCTCAAGCACTAACATGCACCATCTACTACAACAACAGACAGAGAAGCATGGATTACAACACACACACAGGGACTGTGACATCCGTCTATGCTCAGGACACCATTACCCCACAATATCTTTCCATAGAAAAAAGTTGTTTGCTGCTGTATTGGTGCTCTGAGTGTTATATAGGGCAGTGGTTTCCAACTGGTCCAGCCACAGGGTCCAGATTTCTCTTTAGTCATTAGTTCAAAGTACACACAGTTTAATAAATTTAGTGTCACACTTGGGTTTAGCCATGTCTTGGAGCTAGCTTGCTGTCTCTTTCAAGTAGCAATCCGTTTGTCACTCACTCTACAGCAGGAAACTGCACTTCAAAATAAAAGCTCTGCATCGGAATTTTAAAAATAAAGTGTGTTACAAATGACACGTTTGTGAGTCACTTTTGGTCCATTCAGATT